GGCAGGCGTTTTGATAGATATCATTAGCCATTTAGCTGACTTCAGGCTTCACAGAGAGGAGGAGGAACATCAAAGTAGCAGAAAGTCGAGGGGTGGGGAACAGAAGAGCGATTCACCGATATAAAAGAGGCAGACAGACACAAAGGCAGAGACAAAGGTAAGGTGAGTTCTGTGGAAGGGGTCGAATATGGCAACCAGGGGGGTCGTGGTAATTTGAAGTCAAAGTCAAATGCCGGTTAATAGACTTTTTTGCCGTACGAAGGTACGTTGCCCAGGGCGCACCACGTGGAGGTAAGTCTATCGCACACCCCAAGCATCCGGGAGAAGATTAGCGAAATTTAAATTTTGGAATATTAAGCCAATCATTTGTAATGTAAAAGTGGTGCCCTCCACTTCAACTTCTAACACCCCCCCCCACCCACCCACGCAAGCGAGCATTGCGTGAAGTACGAGCACTCTAGTGGGGAAGAAAGCTCTGCACTGGCCTTCCAACTCTCGTCTCTATTCATCCCGATAAAGCGCTTAAATTCTCTTAAAAGGACGTGTTCAGACGCCTGAGGATATTGTAACGATTAGCGTAACGATTAGTCAATAAAGCCTTGGAGACCATCATCTCTAATTGAAAAGATGGAAAATGGGACAGCGGCTGTAAAGTAATAAAAATCAATGACAAGGAACTTTCTATAGTGTTTCTCGCTCCAATTGGTCCTTTAAGAAAAAAAGGCATTCCAAGAGAGAAAGCTCACTTGCCACCTCCAGGAATAAGGCAAATTGGCCAGCAATAAAAGACAATATATGTATATTTATAAAATCTTATTGTACAAAGTCACACGCATCAAAACACCCAAGTCTACGAGGGCATCTCAAGGCTCTCTTCATGAAACTTGTCGACAATCTGCATCACACTCGAGAGATGCGCCTCCACTTTCGTCTCATCTCCATCGAAACTCGACGAGAGCATCTCAACAAGTTCTCTGTGTGGAATCAGTTTATCATCCTTGGCTGTAAGGAGATGAAGTAGGCTGCAGCACATTATTTTAAGTTGTTCGGGTCTGACATGCAAGTTCTTGTTGGTGAGGTGAAAATGGGCAAGGAGGTTTCGCAATTTGCCATAGATGGGACTCGAGGGTATTTTCATGCGAAAGAGGATATTTTTCAAACTAAAATTAAACAATAACAGTAATAAAATTTAATTGACAGCTATCAGAGGGGTTACTACTTCAACAGTTGGCTTCAATTTCGCATAAAAGATTGTGAATTGTGAACTAGTTGTAAGTGAAACCCTAGGGTACACCCAGAAAAGTGTATGACCTCAGCCAAATACAAACAAAAAAGTTGGATTAAATATCTCTCCAAAGCGTGCTGGAATGCACTCTATTTGTGTTGAAATCATTCAGCCTCCACAACCCTATTGAAACGACGACAGGAGTTCTCACGCAGTAATTCAGTTACCAAAACATTGTTTTGCAAATTCGAAACGTGGACTACCTATTAGGTAAATATTAAACAATTTGAATCTAAATAATGTCAATTAGGTGAGATTGATCACAGCGTTGTGGCTTCACTGTACCAATTAAGTTCACAAATTAGTAACTGAGCACTTGCGAGGACACGATCTACACTTCTTGATACGATTCCGTCTCCATAAGATGTGTGCTGACATAACGAAATTGAGGCTATGCTCTGAATCGCTCATTTATTTACCGAAAAACCACGAATCTCCAACCCAACTGGGACTATTCAATACCTCTCAATAATAATAGCTCATTGTGAATTACTGAAAAATTGTTTTATTCGCGTCTCATTTTAAATTGGCGCTTCTTCAACGAATAATTTAAAGAGGCTCAGAAAAACGAAACATCACAAATACACAAAGCCCCATGCGACTAACGAAACATAATGAGATTAGTCAAACGCGTGTCCCAATCACACTTATCAAATTATGTAACCATAGCAAATATCAGAAAACACTATGCTCTGCCTTTAACCTTTCGAACACTGTGAAAGTTGATTATCAAATAGACAGACGTCAGTAAACAAAGTAAGGCCAATTTGGTTACTTGACAGTGAGGTGAAACGACTAACCGATGCATTTGGCTTCTTCGTCGTACCTTTTTGCAATGATTTGCGTGTAGAAGAATATAACCTATACATTATGTTCCATGATGGGGGGGTGTGCAATAGACTTACCTCCACGTGGTGCACCCTGGGCAACGTATACTCATACGGCATAAAAGTCTATAAGCCAGCAGTTGACTACTGACTTCAAACTACCACTGTATGTCATATTCGACCACTTCACAGTACTCACCTCACCTTTTTTCTAACTTTGTGTCTGTCTGTCTCTTTAACATCTGTGAATCACTCTTCTGTTCCCCCCTCTCGACTTTTTGTCACTTTGATGTTCCTTCTCTCCCCATCTCGACTTTTTGTCACTTTGATGTTCCTCCTCCTACCCCTCTCGACTTTTTGTCACTTTGATGTTCCTTCCCCTCTGTGCAGCCTGAAATCAACCAAAGGGCTAATGCTAACTATCAAAACGCCTGGAATTTGATATAAATTATTGTCCATGAGTAAAACATAATCTCATAAGCTTCTCACCTGGGCGATAACGATTCCATTAGAATTTGAAGGCGTAGATTTCCTTGAGATACTGAGTCCACAAAGGGTAGTACAATATTCGGTCCCTAGAGGATGAAAAATCAGATCCAATTAGGCACCACATCAACCGATTTAATCTTGAAAACTCAAAAAAACGAAAAATACATTTTCAGTTGCCTCGGCGTCGGAAAAAAATGCTTTGACTTTAGCCCCGTACTCGGAAGAGGGACACTTCGCTTGATCTTTTGAGGTGGGAGATCCTTCTGAATACAACACTTCCACAGACTCTTTAGTCACCCATTCTTGCAGTCGATTTAAGACTACTCCTTTCGGGTCCAATTCCACCCCCTGTTCCACATTCATCTCCTTTTTCGGGAGAATTTCGCTCTTCACGTTTGCAGTTACTGCCACATTCTTGGATTCCTCCTCCTTCACGTTTAGAGGAGATTTATCAAAAGTTTTAGACTCTCTCTCAATGATTTTGGCCTTACGTGGTTGAGGAATAACTTCATTCCAATGGGAATGTTCGTCGGTACCTTCACTATTCTCGCTGCTCTTATCCTCACTATCAGAGCTCTCCTTTTCGAGATCGCAACAACCCTCTTCATCCTCTGAAGAGGGAGATTGGCTTTTGGTGTTTTCAATATCAGCAATGAGTCGAAGGTTGGCAAGAGCATCCAAGATAGTTTTTCCAGGACGGCCAGGAGCGTTAGCTGGAAGAAATGTGAGATTCAGCATTGGACCATTGGGCAGTGAGCGACACCATACTGGATCAGATGGAATTTGGTGTCGTATATGGCAAGAAGCGCGATAGCACCAGTCAGAACAGAAGTACTGCAAAACAAACATGCTACTGAAATTGAAGTAAGTAGAATATTACAAATGTGATAATGGGAAGCATACCTTTCGATCACCAACTTCATAAACACGACGTCTGGCCACGGAAATTCGATACTTTTGATTTAGCTGTTTTTTAGGGAGGGTGTTTTTACAAAGTATATAGCCACAGTTCTTGTAAGCAAAACGTTCCACTGGAATGTCGTCAAATTGTTCACGCTCCAACCATGGTAACTAGAGCCAAAATAGAATACTCTACATCAACTGAACTTACGGCCATAGCAACCATTTCTTCAGTAACGGGATTTTGAGCAAACCTCTCCACAATCCTCATGAAGTTTCTCAAACAAAGGGCCTTTCTCCTTCTTGTAGCGTCATAATCCTGCTTACTGGCTTGAAACGGACCTCGTTCAGTTGTAGAAGGTTCGTCCAGTTTAAATTCCCCATCATTCATCTAGGCAGAGGATAAGATGGTTAGATTCGTGTTGCAGGCCAATCAATAAGCCAAACGAACAAGAGGAATAAAAAAAACATTCTTCATATATTTACTACCATCAGACAAAGTACACTCAAGATTAGATTAGCAATCTTTATTGGTATTATCGGAGGTATACACAACCCTAGCAACAAGGGAGCACTGAAAGCAATGGGCATAGGGGATTCTAGCCAAGGCAGCAACACCTTCCAGAATGAATTCGCCTCCACATCTGCAGGATGCAGTATAGACCTCCTCGGGATCAATTTCCTCCTCTCCAGACGACAGATCAGAGAAATTGAGAGTACAATGTACTGGAGCGGAGGTGGAATAAAGCAACCGGGCTTGTCGCAGAGCTGCATCATATCGTCTCCGACTCTCATCACACTCTAAAACCCTCCAAGCCCTAATTAGAGCCTCAAAATGCCCCCTTCTTTCAGTTTGTTCAACATCCGATAAATGAACGCATTTGTCTGGATGGCACTCTAATTGACCTGCTCGAACAGCAGCTTTCAGCGTTGCTATGTCAGCAGATTGATCACAGCCTAGTAGAGCGTAATAGTCCTCCTGGGTAAGTAAAATAACTTCTTAAATATCAATTAATAACAATTCTAATATATTGTTTATAAGAATCTATTAATTTAAAACAGTTTATTGGGAAACAGGTAGAAGGTTATGTACAAAGCACAGTTAAAGGGGCCCATTTAGTCTGATTCTTCACTACTGTCACAATCCTCAACCGACTCTGGTTTGGCGCCCTCTAAGCGAGTGAGAGTAGGGAAGGCGACAGGGGGTTTAGCCTTCTTTTCCTCCTCATCGGAATCTTCTTCCAGCTCGGATGAACTGATGTAATGCTCGTTGTGATCATTTGTGGTAGGCGCATGAGAATGGCCGTGAGAACAGCAGGGCTCGCTGTGATTATGATGATGATGGTCGTGACCTCCTTCTCCATTAGCTGATCCCCTGTCGGCATCTTCGGCGTCACTGTCTTCTGGTAGGCCCTTCTCTTTCCGCTTGGCTTTTATTGCCTCAATACGGGAGAACAGATCTCGAGCCATTTTGAAAACTCCTTTGGTGTCCTCTGTGCAGGCATAGCAGCGAGTGGTTTTCTTCAGGCGCTTTATTGCACAGGCTGAACAGAAGTAGTGTTTGCAGCTATGAGTAAAAAAAAGGAGAAGACAGCAAATAACAAACGCGTTATTAAAAAGAACAAAACCGGAAAACAGCTCTGAGGAAAATTCTCCAATCACAAGAAATTTACCCAAAAGAGTGGATCTCCTAAGAAGCACATCGATTTAGGAATAGGGAAAATACTGTTCATCAATTATTGCTAACTACGAAAGAACGAAATAAAGGGCTTCAGGTTTTTCCTAAATATGAAACTTCTTAAATAAACCTCTCGTGTAAATGGACTGAACACGTTTAGAAAGCATAAGAAGAAAGTCGTCGTCTTAAAACAAAGAGACCAACGACTGTTTCTCCTAATAGTACCACTTTCTATTCACTTTGTTTCTTACCTATGTAGTAACGGCAATTTTATTCTGTCCCCACTAAAGGTATTCCTATAGGGCTTTGCATTCGCAACACCTTGACTACCTTACACTGAATTGGATTATAACACAAGACGATGTGAATTTGAATTTCATCAAATTTGTAGCTAGATGGACCATATTTCCATTGCTCAGTTAATTGGACTTCAAGTCTTCCTTAAGTTGCTTCTTATATCAGATACTACACGAAGAGTGGGATGAGTCGCATATAGAAAAAATAAGTAAATCCAGAAGTGCAAAAGTAAGCATATCGCATATTTTTCTTAATTTCTACTTGTCAAGACTCGGAGAAAACATTATTAAAAAGAAAAAATATCGTCAACACACTAAAAGAATGTCATTTAAATTGAGTAAATGTCATTTACCTAAATGTCGACGTCTCAGGGGCAATTTGATCTGAAATAGATGCGTCAACGATCGTGGATAAGTTAAAAAAAGTTCAAACTAATTTTGCAGTTAAGTGCTAAACCCGAACATTAATAGACCAAGTAGTGATTTCTGACCTGTTTATTAAAAATAAAATAAAATCACGATTCATCGGAAGTTCAAATGGATTCATGTAAAAACTTCATCATTCATTTAAAATTTACTAATATTAACAATAAGGATTGAATTCTGATCGCCCATATACCTCATAAATCATCTCATTCGTTTATAGCAGACTTGCCTGGATACAGGAGTACATGGCGTTTCGACGTCAGTGATTCTTCTAAATAAGGATCAACCCCTAACCTACAATTAAACGATAATTCGTCTTTTTAGTGTCTGAGAGGTGCAATAAAAGCCATTCGAACATTAAATATACATTCCGAAGCTATTTAGTAAAGATAGTTCAAGGAGCGCACGATGAAGATGGTACGAAATGGTAGAGTATGGATTCATTAAAAGGTTCTCGAAGTGATAACTGAGAAAATTAACAATACGTGACCGTTTTTTTCGAATGGCTATTAAAAACTTTATGAATTAGTGCCACTAAAATAAATATCTTCTTAATAAAGTCTAAAATACTAAAGCATAAAAGAAAACAAAAAACGGTAAATTTCGAACTAAAGGAAAATAAATGCATGAAGATAAAGTGAATTAAAAGAATAAATTATTATGAAACATATAATAAATGAATAATTATTCAACCTACTTGGTGACAACGGGGTCCTTAAAATCTCCGCGACATATAATACACTTAAGAGGGAGATACTGATCCCCATCTTCATCTTCATCCGACTTAATTTCATATCGATTATCATTTCCTTCCACACCGTAGACACCCTCTTGGAACTCCTGTTCCAACTGCCAGCCATGTTTGTAATCTGACCGGTCGTGGAGGAACTTACAACTGTCACCGAAACTACAGAAGCCAGTCTCCTTGTAGTCCTTACAAACATCCGGCTGATAGTCCCATCTTACAGTCGCTCTAAGATGAGCAGGAGCGCGCATTGGTCCTTTTCGATTGAAACCGCTGGCAGCATTGCCCATTACCGTGTCCTTTTTCTCAAGGTACTGCGCATAGTTATTCATGCCACGATATACTTTGTCCGTATTGGACTTAACCTCCTTGTTAATTTGTTGGGATTTTATAAACAAGGCCTGAGCGTCTTGAGTAATATCTGTGTCGATTTCTAAGGTGGCTGTGGCTCCTTGATCTTTTGGACCACTAGTAACCTAAAAAAGGTCAGAAAATAAGTTCGAGAACCTCACGACTACACAAAATAATAAACGTATAACTTACAGCATTATAATCTGCTTTAAACGCGACGCTCGTAAGTTCATCACCTGAGTCCTCATCGGATACTGTTTTACGTTTTGCGGAAAAATAGGCTGTTTTCTGAACCAGTGGATTTGAATCAATCTTTTCCTTCTTCTTTACGATCCTAACGTCATCATCACTGCCCGATGATTCTAGGAAAATAAATTTGGATATCTAAATTACCTTCTTTAGAACGCGTTGCTGCCTTCTTCCTCTTTTTAATGAAAAGGCAAGTTGGATTGACCTCAGACATTAACAGAACACTTGATAAATACAACTAGATCGCCGACCTCTACAGCCGATTAAAACATATTTCCAAAAAAGCCCCAAAATAGTAAAAGTGGTAAACTTTGGACAATATTTGAAATTACGTGACGAATAAAGCGAGGCATATATAATATCGTAGGTTAATAGGAACCTATTTACATTTTATGTGTATTTATCTAAGGATTATAAAACTTGAGATTATTACTTTTGAATTCATGCTCTAGTGACAGAATAAAAGGAGATCATTGATAAAATAAATCTCTGTGATGAAAATATATATCTAAATACCTTTGTCATTTACTATCTTTGGATTTAACTATCTCAATTTGATTAAGTGAACATTCTTCATTTTTATATGTTACTTGCATCATATATTATCGTAAACATCTTGAATTACTTATTAACTATTTTTTAAATGTGAGTTCTTACGCATAATTGAATCTTCTCTATATTGTTACTCATGGATTCAGACGTGCTATATAAAACTGAATAATTTCAAAAAATTGTCGTAAGTTTAAAGAGTGATATTATTAACTTCTTACTTTATTAGACGCCAAAAAATTCCTTGTGATAACAGACTACGTAGTCAGCATAATAGTTAATAGAGACATTACTTCTGATATACAACACAACTTCGGCATTTCTATTTTTTACAGTTTTGAATATATATTTTCATAACTTAATGCATGTTACATGCTTATATCAAATGTTCCCCAAAAATCAACGTGCTGCAAAATACTTATTTAATGTCTATCAGTATCTGCTTAAATTTTTTAAGATTTTCCTAATCTTAAAATAATTTTGCGATCAAAAAGCCACTTGTTTTATAATTCATTTTGGTGTGATTAAGAACCAATCTTCAGTTTGTGCCCACAGCTCCTGACTGTTATGTCCCTTATCTACTTCTCTTTATTCTCTGAAGAGCATTTGTCTCCTATAATTAATTAACTAACCTCAAATAGAAATATAGTGCCCTCAACTAGGTTACTATTATCGCTTATAAAGTGTTTAAACGGCTTAAGTTGCTCTTCAGTGGGTATTGCAAAGACTCGATGCAATCATCCCCCCCCCCACATCCTTCCCCTGATTCAATGATGAAATAACGATTTTATCGGTTTATTATAACTTTTCAATGAATGAAGCAAAATCTCCGTGTAATCAAATGCATATCCACTATATTCATTCCCACAGATTCAATAGTTAACCCTCCTGCCTCGGTCTCTGGTCTTCTCGCAACATGACCTAATCACTTCTGTCCTATTTCCTTCTCATCCTGCAATGATTGGTAGGGAGATGGCATAAACTGAAAGCACCAGAATTCTCACATTTTATGGAACGCTTCTTAGTAAATTTTATTATTCAGTCAAGGTTCGCCCCCTCCAGTCCTTATTAATGAAACAATACCGGGGAAAAGATGTGCCAAGAACAAACTCCTCGCAAACATCGATGTCAATTCGATTGGTCAAATAAGTGCCCCATTTACTACTTCACGCCAAATTCAATTTTAACGTCCAAAATAACCATAGTTACTACCACGAAGAGTTATATATTTATTAAAATTTAATTAAAATCACATACACAGAAAAAGATGCTAATATGAGTGTCAAAAATGTGAAGTGCATCATACTGCAGAAATTGGATGACAAAAAGTGGGGAAGAGGCGAAACTTCATAATTACTTCAAGATGCAATAAATTTTGACACACACACATAAACAAAGAGTACTTAAGAGGGTTATTACAGCTATAATTATTAATATACTTAGAAATAATTTAGTTATGAAACAGTTCACTCGGCAACGGACTATGCAACGGTGAGAGTGATTGTTGTGGTATTTAGAGCGTGAGAGATAGATGTCTAGGCGTATTCAGCAATGCAACTTGGTTGGTCATCTGGACATCTACAAACACGATTCATTTCTCGACCGCCGGGGAGGCAGAAGAATCGACAGCGACCGTTCTCGTAGCTGCAAGTATTAGTCATTGCTGAAAAGAGATTGAGAAGACCATTAAGCAACTCAAGTGCATATTTGGCAATTATGTCTGGTAATTGGAGGAGCACTTACAACGCTTGCAAGCGGTGTACATGGCCATGGACTGAAATCCATTAGAACAACAGACCCCCTTGACATATACTGACGAAGAGGGATTCAGGGAACGGTACATTTTCCTGAAATAAGAAGTGTTTCAGTAATCGACTTAATTTTGCTGTATAATACTTTTCAAGTACATCGTAGGAATATTTTCCCCATTCTTTGTTCCCAGACATTAATTCTACAGTATGGGGGTGTGCGATAAACTTACCTCCACGTGGTGCACCCTGAGCAACGTATACCTATACGGCAAAAAGTCTATTAATCGGCGGTTGACTTCTGACTTCAAACTACCATGACCCCACTGTATGTTATATTCGACTACTTCCAAGGTACTCAGCTCACCTTTTTTCTACCTTTGTGTCCGTCTGTCTCTTTTATCCCTTTTTCTCTACCTTTGTGTCTGTCTGCCTCTTTTTCTCATATTGCCTTTTCTCTGCCTTTGTGTCTGTCTGTCTCTTTTACATCGTGAATCATTATTCTATCCCCCTCTCGACTTTTTGCCACTTTGATGTTCCTCTTCCTTTCTGTGAAGCCCGAAGTCAACTAAAGGGCTAATGATACACCTATCACAACGCCTGCCATTTGAAATAAATAATTCTACAGTATTTGGTATTCACTACAATGATCAGTAAACACAAAGTCTCGTTTTCTTTCTCATATCCACTGATCTGTGC